GCGGTGAACACTCTGGACAGGTCGCCAGTCCATCACAGGGCAACACAGAGACAAACAGGACAAACAACCATTCACGCACAGACTCACACCTAAGGAGAATTTAGAGAAGCCAAATAACCTAACAGTCATGTTTTGGGACTGTGGGAGGAAGCCGGAGTACCCAGAGAGAACCCACGCATGTTCAGGGAGAACATGAAAACTCCAATGCAGAAAGACCCTGGGCTGGGAATCGAGCCCAGAACCTTCTTGCTGCAAAGCAATATATATATATATATATATATATATATATATGAAGTTTTTTTGTTCATTTTTTTTTCTAAGAATTTATATATGTATATACGGTATGTTAGTAGATAGACCGTCACAAGCCACACTCCATACCAGTAGGTGGAGGTAGTGCTACTAAAAGTTTGTTGCCAACCGCCAATAAATCCAAGAAGAAGAAGAAGAAGAAGAAGAAGAAGAAGAAGCGCTATTGAGGGGACTGCAGCAAGTGTGCTTAGTGTGAAGTGAGCAGGGTGAGGGAGTAGCCACCGACTGGAAAAAGCCCTGACTGCATCCCTTCAGTTAAGATATCATGCTGTGTTTTACGAGTATAATTACTTAGGCAAACGTTCATTCTGTGCTTTACACCGACGCCCAATATTCTGGTTCAGTTTTGAAGGTGTTTTTCTCACAGACGCAGTTTTCTTAGCTTTTAGCCCTTTATTTACTAGCCAAAAACGCTAATAACAGCTAGCTAAGTAGCACGCAGCTTAGTTAAAAAAAAAAAAAAAAAAACCGCTTGTGAGGGTAACAGTTACTCTCACTATGGCCTTATCGGAGGCAGAAAACGGCTACCAGGAGGGAGGAGAACAGGAGGCAGATGCTATTGTTAAAACGTGTGTTTTGGAAAGCTTCAGTGAAAGCAGTGAAACCAGAACCCTCATCGCTAGTCTTCCAGAAGTCCACGAAACCGAACATGCTAGAGAGATAGCAACTGAGAAGTTCCGAGGTGCTGCAAACCACAGTTAAATGAAAATATTTATATTAATTTAACATAATGTCTTTAATGATCTGTGACCTTTATATAACCGCAGTAATCATGGACAGATACCAGGAGCAGCCTCATCTGCTGGATCCACATCTGGGTACAGAGCGGTCATAACTGTAGATAATGACAGCGTCATTCATAAGTTTATATATAACATTTTTTTTTGTATTTTGTATTAGAATGGATGACAAAGATGCTGCTGAACTTTATAAATGAAAATGCACCCACTTCTTTGGTTCATCTGAGCTTCAAATTCCTCTCTGTCATCTGTAAGGTCAGTTAAACATGCGTCTGTTATCTGTGGCTGTCAAGCTGCATTTTTTTATTATAAAAAAAAAAAAACAGTTGTACGTACATTTATTTTAGTCATCTCTGTTTGTTTTATTTTAATGTTTCTTTTTTTCTCTTAGGTGAGAGGTTATAAAGTCTTCATGCAGCTTCTTCCTCATGAGGTGTCTGATGTTCATCCAGTTTTGGAGCTGATGTCCAGACAGGATCCTAAAGACTTGGCGGTAATTTTCAATATGTTCATCAGAAAAATATTTGTTCATGCATGTGCATCGGTTTCAGCTAGTCGCTATCATAATAATATTAATTCAATAAAAGACTTTCTTTAGGCTTACAGTGATAGTAGCTTTACATGATTTCCGTTTCAAAGTATTACCTACCCAAAGTTTTCTGATCAAATGTAAATTAGCCTTAGATTCATATAAAATGGCTTTAGTTTGTTAGTATACACAGACATGTGTGCGTAAGCTTTCTGCAGTGATGTTGGAGAATTTATTTCATCATGTTTCAGACTTGGGAAACACGCTACATGTTGTTGCTGTGGCTGTCCGTGGCCTGCCTCATCCCGTTTGACCTTTCTCGTCTTGATGGTTACCTAGAATCAGAAGGGGCTCAGGTCAGAGAGCCTGTCATGGAGCGTATTTTAGCTATTGCAAAGGTAAGTGCTGTAAGAGATAGATATGGTTTGGTATTCTGTTACAAAAAAAGAAAAAACATTACAACAGAAATAATTTTGGACTGGATGAAGCAGGCTAACAGTAAGCATCTGTCTTCCTCTTCGTCTCTTGGCTTTTCCCTTTTAGAGGTTGCTACAGCGAGTCATCTCACACACCTAATCCTATCCTCTGCATATTTTTCTGCTGCACCCATGTCCTCATTATTTTCATCTATAAATATTCTCCTTGGTCTCTCTTTAGGCCAGGGGTCAGCAACCCGAAATGTTCAAAGAGCCATATTGGACCAAAAAAAAATCTGTCTCAAGCCGCAAGTCTTATATAAGCTTTTTTTGGCAACGCAAGCTCCAAAGCTGCATTCACACCAAACGCAGCAGGAGCAGTGAGTTTACATGAAAAGTCAATGGTTGATGCGCGTCAAGGCGCAGCAAAATGTCCCGCAGTGCGTTTTGAGCAGCTGAAGTGGCACGTTGGGAGCATTTAAGCATCTGAAGCGTGCGACACGCCATAAACGCACTGCTGCTCTAGATAGAAAATGTATCTTTTTCTGCTCGACGTGCCACATCAACCAATGAGAGAAGCTGATGTGGGAGCTGGCAGAGAGAGAGACATATCGCTGATGATACCGATCACTATGATAACTCCTAACTTAAAATTTTGAAACCTTCCATGCTTGCAACAAAACTAGCAGCATTTGTGGAGTTTGGAGATGGAATCCACTTCTTAAATCTATCTTTGTGCTCCTCTATTTTATCCAGAAGTACTGCAGTCGCACTTTTTCCTCTCCCTTCCATCTTGCTGGTCGGCTGCATATTTAGGAAGCCTTTCTTTTTATTACTTGACAACTTCTCATAACAAAGCAAACATGCAGGCAATCCTTCCGCATTGATAATGAAAGCAAATTATTCGGTCGATTCTTCATTGAATCCTGTGTTCTCATCAGCTATCTTCCTTTTTTTCCCTTTGGGATCCATAGCCAAAGACACACCCGCCGGTTTGTTTACATCAGCCACCTACCTGGCACTGCGCCGTGCTAAAACGTGTTGCAGGCTATGACACAAATCTTCCTTGACAGAAATGTTTACATTTATTGTTTAAATATATTGATTATACAAATTGTTACAGCATTGGAAAACAAAATGAATGTTTGTTTGACCTCCTGCACACCATATTAAAACAAAACAAAAAAATCCATCTTTTTCCATTTTCATACATTAATGAAAAAGCTACAGGGAGCAGCAAGGGGTGCATTAAAGACCGGCATGCAGCTGTAGGCCTTCTGCCTGGCAATTTTCAGTCTAAACCACCTTCTACCTATAAACTCACTCCTCCTTTTTACATGTCCAAACCATCTTAGTCTTGCCTCTGTGGCTTAATATGCAAAATATCAAACATGAGCTGACCCTCTGTTGTTAACCTCCATAGCATTCCTTACAAACTCTTCCTTTAAGATAACTCTTACAGCATTTTTCTTCCTATCTACCCCATGTAAAACAGCTTGAACAATGCTTCCAGGCTTCTACGTTTAATTTCTTTCCACTTGGTCTCCTGAACACACAGGATGTCCACATGCATCATGTCAGCAATCTCTAAAGTCAGTCATAGTCCCAACATTTAAAGTTCTTGCTCTCAGTTCTAGACTCGTTCTTTCCTCTTCTCTATCTTCCTATGAACATGTTGTTTTCCTCTGACCAACCTTAACCTAATTCCCTTGGGAACTACCTAGTAGTCCCCAGCACCAGTGGCGGTCGTTGTTGACCCTGGCTCGGCAAACATTTTACACCAGCTGTCCTTCCAGACACAACCTCCTGCATTTATTCGAGCTTGGGACCTGCCCAAAAGGACACAAGACACTATGGCCCCAATTCATTAATGTAATGGCCCCGAAATCATTCCTATAGAAAACTTAAAGGACTTTTTTTTATGATTAGTCTGTACTAAGAAACCTGTGTATTTAGATAAGTTATATATTTTTGTTTTTTGACCCATTGTAGATAAAAGAAAATCAAGAATGAATTTAAATGCAAACAATCAGGAAATATAAATTGCTATCACTGCCCCTACATAGTTAAGAACTACTGTAATGCAGAGGACAAATTTCCCACTGGGATCAGCTTCATTCATGGTAGGCCTCTTTGATTTTACTTTGGAAAATCTTTTGGCAATCAATCTATCAAGATTTGGAACAAAACCTCACTAAACATTTCAGATGAACATCTGAATCCTTTCAAGTCAGGTATTTTTTTATTCAAATTCATTTAATTAAATAGAAACGGCTGAAATAATTTTCAAAGTCTGAAAAAAAAACTGCTTACAAATTCAAATACATTCAAATTAGCCTGAACATGAAATAAGCCTTTATAAAACCTAATAATTTTACTCACCTTTTAAATATTCATTTAAAGAATTTATTTTATAAAATAGACTGTTTATTAGAAAATCCGTATTGCTTCTATTGGCTCATTTAAAGTTAGCTAGGCTACATACTGGCAATAAAGGAGTTAAAACTATTTAACAGGTCTATTGAACTAAGCTATTTACCGTTGATCGGACAACAGGCATTCTGCAAGTCACACGAGGGACCCTCCTGTCAGATGTCAACATTCAATTAATTTATGACCATTATCCAGACATTTACGTCACATTTGACAGTTCTTTCAAGATAATAATTTTAACGCGCATCTTAAAATGCTTAATTAAAATACATTTTTGAAACCTTCTATTCTCTCCTCCGGGTTTCCTCCACTGCTCTTGGCCACAGCTCCACTTGTCTCACCAACATCTTCTAGATTCTGGCTGCCACCTAGCAAAACATCAGCGGTCTACAGATTCATTTTATATTTGATTCACAACCAAAATGCAGATTTGGGATGTTCAGCAATGCCTGTACACTGTAGACTAATTCTAGTGTGTCATGAAAACTTTAAAGGCAGAAAATGTTTGCCCTTCAAACTAGTTTACCTAGTTTTCCATGCTATGGCTATGTCCAGAGATCAGGATTTACATATTTGGTGACACAATGGTAAGATTATAAAAGGTAATGTCGTCTGACTATTGGCTTACCTGAAGAGTTAGTTTTTGCCTTCTTAAAAATGAAGTCCCTCAAATCGTGTTGTCTTTGTCGCTTGGCCATAATGCTATTCAGAACTCCGTCACTTGCTCTGTTGGTTGCACCTCTGAGGTCGAAGATGAAATCACATGTGCCCTCTGGGCCACCGTAATTTGGTCAGGCTACTCATAAGCGCACAGCCTACCAAATGTTGAAAGGACAATATTATTGCATTACGGTTACGGTTGTTTTTTTGTGTCTTTCTTTGGACATGTTAACTTTAATATAGGTTAAGTGGATAAATAGCATCATCAGCTGTTTGGAGGAGCTAATCTGTCAGGGCTTTTTTTTCAAATTTTTTTTTTTTTATGCCGTCATAAAATAAAATACAGAGCTATATAAAGATTAAATTAGGTCAGTTAAAAGAAAACAACTTTCCTTAAAATAAAAACATTGTTTTTTACAGACTTATCTTCAAGTCAGCGACTCCCCCAGAGATGCTGCATCAGTTCTTGTTTCAAAGTAAGTGCAACTTTCTATTTTCTTTGTTGTCTTTTTTTGTCTTTGCAGTGGAAATTACAATAAAGGTGTCTTAGATTACACAGTAAAACCTAAATAAAAGAGTTTTAGCACCACTACATTTTATCCAACCCGGTTTATTGTAAAGCACAGCCCAAATTGACCCATGGTGCCTGAAACGCCCCTCTTCATTGCCACTAGAAGGCAGTGTGGTTCTTGGAACGCCTTTGCTATGTCTACCTGTGCTTGTCCTCATAAAACCTCTAATATTTGCTCTGTTGGATTTTACACGACCCCACAGGTTTATGACACGCCCTGATGTGAAACAGAAATGTCTAGGGGGCTTTTTGGACTGGAGTCTCACCACCGTATCCCAGACTGACCCCCTCTCAATGATGGGAATCATGGTGCTGGATGGTGTCTTGCAGTCTTTGGTAAACTCTTCCATTAAGATTTATCGTGCCTCTCCTTGTGTGTGTCAGTGTGTGTGTGTTTGAGGACGAAGTGTACGTGCTCACTTTCAGTCAGTGTGCGGAGTGTAATTTACAAGAGCTGACATGATTGGTATGCTTTACACAATAGTTGGTGTGGTTGCAACAGGTGTGTGATGCACCTGCTGTCTGTGTGGGATCTGTTGATTCAAGTGACTTACGAGAGTTTAATCTGCAGCTTTAGGCTAAACGGTTTCTCTGCCGATGAGGGGGATTAGATCTAAGGTTTTTTTTTTTTTAGCATAAGACACCTTACTGCTTTTTCAGGAAAATTTTCAGTGTTTAGTCAGATGATTTTTCCATATAGAAGGAACATTTTATTCATTGGAACATTGCTCTGCACTGTGGACAGATCTGAAGTTATGCTTTAGAATTTTAAAACTTACTTATTGTGCTGTTTTTTTAGAAACTGTTTACATTTTAATGAATCTCTAATGCAAAGACTCTAAATGACATGGATTCGTGGAAATTATAAGATGGTAAAAAAGAATAAAATAAGTCAAATCTATCAATGATTTCCTGAATGTTGCTACACTCTGTCTATATGACTTTATTGATCTCTAAAATAACTATTGATTTGATCTTTTTTTTTTTTTTTTATTCTAATGACCAATAGGCAAAACTTTTTAAGCATGGGAAACGAGACGACCTTTTACAATACGGTAGGTTTCATTTCCCCCGTGGAGTAGTACAGTTACTTAAATATTGAAGAAAAGCTGATGCTGGCATGTCTCTGCTTTATTTGCTTTCATTTCTCAGCTCCTACAGTTCTGCGTTGTCTGGAGGAAAAGCATCTAACGGACAGCAGCGAGGCCAAGCTGCGAAAGATCAATGTCAAACTAATCCAGAGACTTGGCCTAACATTCCTTAAGCCACGTGTAGCTGCTTGGAGGTCATATATTATAACTCTTACCGCATCATACTCCATTTGACTTTTTTTTGTCATCCTTTGCCAGTAGCCTTAGTTTTTTAAAATGGATGTGCATATTTTCAGGTACCAGAGAGGCAGTCGCTCCCTGGCTGCTAACCTCACTGTGTCTCACGCTGCTACTGCTGCTGTTACTCCTGAGACAGAGACGCAAGAACAGGATGAGGACTACGACATTCCCGAGGAGGTGGAAACTGTCATTGGTAAGTTATCATTTTTACTCAGCTTCTAGTCAAACTCTAAAGAAAACCTTGCAAAACTTTTTCTTTTTTCACCCCAGAGCATCTGCTTGTTGGCCTGAAAGATAAGGAAACAGTTGTCCGCTGGTCTGCAGCAAAAGGGTAACAGTTTTCATACAACACCCAGCAAATCTAAATGCTTGTTTAAAAAAAAAAGAAGAAAAATCCTTGCTTTTACCTGTTTCAGGTATTCTTTATATTAAAAGTTCATGAATGGTAAAATATTTTTTAAACCTTCCAGCATTGGAAGGGTGACTGGAAGGCTTCCTAAGGAGCTGGCAGATGATGTGGTTGGATCAGTTTTGGACTGCTTCAGGTTGGTTTATGCTTTGGGCACTTTGGCTCTGTCTACCAGTTACTTTCGCATTATTTATTCATTTAAAAAAAATCTTTTTTATAATTTATTTCTTAGTGACAAAGCATATTAATAACATTCCTGTCAATATACCAGGGTTAGCCAGGAGGCTATCTTTCCCCTGTAGTCTTTAAACAGATTTTAAAGGTCAGCTTAAAAGACGTAAAGTAACACTACATATTGCTTCTTACTTTCTTTTAATGAATGTCAAACATTCTGGGATGTGTTTGTGTATTCTCATAGTCCACCATAATGTTTGCTTTTTAGGTTTAATGTACGTGTATTATCTTTAGTTTTAAGGAAACGGATAATGCCTGGCATGGGGGCTGTCTGGCCCTGGCAGAGCTTGGAAGGAGAGGTCTGCTGCTCCCATCAAGGTTGACTGATGGTATGTGCACTCATTCATGTGTCAATAAAAGGACAAACAGATCTTGTGTTTATTTTTTGCATTCAGTTTTTATTGGTATTTACATTGAAAACACAGTTTTACAGTGTTTTATAAAGTTTGTATAAAGATAGCAGGGTTTAAATAATGAGCTCCCCTTTTTGCCACACTGAACAAACTAGTTAGTGACTGTAATCATTTAGCTGGAACAGAAATTTTGTAAATCAAACATGTTTTGATTGTTTTTCTCCCAGAAGCTGTAGCAGTCTGTCTTGTTAAGTTTTAATCTGTTGTAACACTTTAACACTTGGTGTTAAAGTATTTCAACATGAAAGTCTCACTACCAGCGTCCCAGGTGAGTTGTCAGCAGCGAGTCCTCCTCCTCAGCTGTCGGCCTGTTGGTTTTACTTTCTTAGTTAGTTTTTGACATTTGCTCTCACTCTGGATGCTGCTGTTTCGTCTTTTCATCCCAGTTGCTTTAGCTTGTTTAGTCTGCTTGGTGTTACTCTGTGGGTCAGGAGTTTCGAAGTCCGTTGAGTTTTCAGAGGGCTGAACTTTGAATGGAAAATCACCTGCGGAGGCTGCAGAGCTTGCAGTAGCGAGCTGGCAGAGAGCCAGAGCTGCAGTCTGTCTTTGGTCACATGGTTCTTCATCCAGATCTTCATCCGCCCTCTGTGGGAGGTCCTGTGAAGAGCTCGGAGCAGAGCTATTTGCAGGACTGCTGCGTGAAGGTCGGAGGCTGAGGTTCAGCGGGACCTCTGTGCCGCTCTCATTACCCCCATCTAAACCCATCAGCCTGTGTTCAGATTTGTGCTCCTGGTATCTTTTTGACAGGTTAAGAGGTGCTAGGCTATCCGATTGCTCTTGTTCGTCTTTATCTGACGAGTAGGAATGTTGGCCACTTCCATTTGATCTGAAAAGGACATATCAAAATATTAGAGACAAACTAGTGCACTTGGAACAGCTTTGCTTCATAAGCAAAAGGAATAAATATTAAAACTCGTCTTACCCTCCATCTAGGTAGTGACCTCCCATCTGAAGCAAGGTTTCTGCTGACTCCTCATGCCTTGAATCTTTTATGATTGGCTCTACAACCTTAGATGTGTGTCCAGGCTGGAGAGCTGTCTCTGACTCACCAGTGGTCATATGTGAAGACTCAGAGTCTCTCAAGACGATGTTTTCTTGATTGGGTCTGTCTGGTGACCCTAAAGCTGAACAGCCCTGTTTAGGACTCAGACTAGTTTCCTTTTCTCCACTTTGGCCGTGTTGGCCCTCCCCACTGCCAGAGCTGTGAGAGCTGTTCTGACTGGGATGTGAATACATGTAAAAGTCATAATCCTTATGGCCAAAGCTCTGACTGTAACCATCCAATGGAAAATATCTGGGTCCTGCGATTGGCATGGAAAGCTCATGGGGTCTGTAAAGGGTGTAAGGCAGAGGTGGGGCTGGGTGAAGGGTGTGGCAGTACCTGTAAGGGTAAGGTGGGAACGGTGCGGCATGAGGTGGGGCAATGGGTGGTTGCACCAGAGATCTTTGGGGATCTATGAACTCTGACTGTAAAGGCCGATCAATTTGGTTATTTGTAGGAATGTGTCTTGAGAGGTAGTATGGTGGATAAATGGGTCGCTCTGGCATGAGATAGGGAGGGCATTCTGGAACCATGAGGGGGGTGAAAGATTTAAATGGAAGGGTTCTGGCCCATGGGCTGCTTTGGTGGGGGATGTTAGGAGCAGGTGAATCCTCCCTCCGCTGAACAGTTGACACCAAGGCCTCAACACCGTCTCGGTTGGGTGTGACAGGAGAGAAAGCAGAAGGGCGAGGCAGATCCTTTGACTCGTCACTCACCCTGATTTCTTTTTCATTAAATTTATTGGGTTTTGAAATACTGTGGTTGTCCTTGGTCACAGGACTCTCACACCCAACATCTAACTCTTCTGTGTCATCGGTGCTGTCGTCTTTCTTCTCTTCCGCCGCTTGTTTCTCAGGACCTGTGCTTTGGATTGCAGGAAGGACACTTGTACCATCCTTGGGTTTGACAGAGACTGGCTTTGCCGCAGCCTTCATTTGTCTGGGTGTCTGTCCATTTTTTTGAGTTACCAAGGAGATTGAATTTTGACATAAGTTGTATTTCATATGATTGAAGAGATGAGACTTCTCGTTGCAGGTGAAAGGACACTGGAAGCATTGGTACTTAAAAGGTTTTCCTGGTGGCCGAGGAATGTAGTGAGGCCTTTTTGGTTTGCGCTCTTGATCGGTTTCCATCCCGACTTGTTTTCCTAAAAGAAAAAAAAATAGTAATGCTTAAGATTTAGATGAGGCTTCTTTTTTTAATAAAGCTAAATGTTAAAAATTGGAATGTAACCTAAAAAGTATTTCTCACTGAAGCGCTTCTAAGCTGTCGCTCCAATGATGGGTCGTTCAGAGTTGTTTGACTGGTTCAGAGGACGACTGTCATTGAAAGTTTTAACCTGGTGTTTTTCAAGTTGCGTGGCTAGAAAAGTCTCCCGGTGCATAAAACACCACGTCCCCAGGCTACATTTGTTCCTGCACAATGGAATGGATACTAAGCCGAGAAATATTTAAATTGAAAACCTGTCTGCTTTATGCAAAAATATGCCGTCATTTTTGGACATATCCCAGCCCGGTCTTGGATCGGAGTTGGCTTAGTGGCATCGCCCTTACACGTGTCTCTGCTAACGCTGCCTGCTCAGTCCGTCCGTTTTAATATCTCTTTTATCATCTTCCTATAAAGTCAGAAGTCCACCTCTTCACCAAACAGACCTTTCATTCTCTTAAGTTTCGCAGACCTGGAGGGCATGCAGAGACTTGCTTTCTCTTACAGCTAAACAGTGTGCCGTGAGCGTGGGAACTACGACTCGACCTGCTTACCAACCTGCTTCCCATGACTACACCTGCGGGATGCATTCATCACTCCATAAGCTTTCTGCCAAGGATGACTGCAGAGACCTGCTTGTTGTCAGAGCACTCTAACGTATTAACTGAAATCATTTTATTGTAGAAGAAAATTATAGACATGGTTTGTATTTGTCTGCTCTCTCGTTTTGAATTAAACATCACCTAAAGATGTTAACTTAGGGCTGCTGGGTGTGCTTTGAGAAACCTGCTTGTCGTGCGCTGTCGCAAGAAGTTGTCACTCAAGTTTCGGCTAAAGAAGCATGCATGGACACTCCCTTTCTAAAGAACACAGATTCTGTGGAAAATGCTGTTTTTTAACACATTTCTGGTGTTGATGTATACAGTCAAATAATGATTTATTCCTACAACAGATTACATCCAAGATGCCTAAAGTAAAGGGCTTATTTTCACAATCTGGAAATTTTAAACATTCTATATAAATATCTTACATATATACAAAAGTTCTATATATAAACATCAGCACCGTATCTTTGATAGCAGCAGTCTGAACAGAGGCTGGATATGCTCCGTAGGTAACAGGTGCGCACCTTGCATATATCAGTGCTCTATAAAGCCTAATTAACACAATCTGAAGACATAGCCAAACTCATTTATGGTTTAAAAATATAACTTATGTCATCTCTCAAGAAATAAATTGGACAAAAGTTACCTTTTCTGGCTGAAGCAGGTAAAGTCTTGCAATGTTTGAAGCCGACGGAGAGGTGATCCACAGCTCACAGTAAACGTCGGTGTCTGGTGTAAAGCACTTGGTTCATTAGCTTGGAGCCTAGAATGGATGAGTGTGATGAAGAGTGTGATCTTAGCCGTTTGGTGAGTTCTTTGTAAGGTGTTGTCTCTAGTGGGTGGTGCTTCAGCCCAAACAGCAGGGCCCTCAGGCAACAGTGATGCACCTGATATTAGTCAGGCCTCAAGCAATGATTTAAATGTTGAGTTTGAGATCAGAATCTTTCTAGATCCATATCTGTGTTTTGTGAAAAGTAAGTCAAATGGACGTTATTTAACAACGACTTTACATACGGTTTGTAACGTGAAAGTCAGTAGCAAGCTCACAGAACCTGCTGCTGGTTCCTTTTATACAGTTTGAACGTGTCTGTTTGCGTTTAATATGATCATAAAAAAGCAGAAATCTGAAGTTTTGTTTTGGAAAAATGCAACAACATTTAAATATATTTTTTCTCCCATAAGAAACTTGAATAATCCTCGAGTCCTCAGCGGTTTGGACATGAGATGTTAAAAACTATTGCTTGTTTTCATTTAGCTTTTTAATCTCTGACCTCTATCTCAGGATAAAGTGCACCACTTTGTTTTTCAGTGGTGCCACTGATTATCACGTCACTGACCTACGATGAGAAGAGAGGAGCATGCAGTGTCGGTTCCAACGTGCGTGACGCTGCCTGCTATGTCTGCTGGTCCTTCTCCAGAGCTTATGAACCTAAAGAACTTCAGCCATTTGTCAACCAGATTGCAAGGTAACACCCATGTTTTTGTTGTTGTTAACTCAAATGCATCTGTCACTAGTAACCCAGTCAAGACCAAAAGTACATAAAAATGATCTGAAACTATTTTTATTTTGTCTTTAGCTTGTAACAGTGTGGGTTGTGAGCATTTAGTTTCTATTATTGTGTCTTTCTGACTGAGAAAACCATTTAAAAAATCTAAAAAAAAAAAACTGAAAATAGGTTAGAAAGACTTTACTAAAACCAGGACAGGTTTAATCTTTGAGTGTTTATTGTAGTAAGTTTTGTGTTAATAACTAAATCCCCCTAATTCATGTAGAGATACACTTTAAATACCTTATAATGTCTATAAGCCATCATCCCCGATGGCAATTAAGAATAAGTCCATTAATTTGTTGAAAAACTGTCCTTCCACCTATAATTTATCTAAATCTATATATTAATATGAATAATATTAATTCTGAGTGTAATCTAAAGATAATGCATTAACATCCTTTTATCATATTCAAAGAATTACCATGCAGGACTATGAAAAAGTCATAATGTCTTATGATCTGCAACAAAAATAGATAATCTTGTCAGTTATTCACTTTTTATCTATGAAGAGTTGCTTCAAATACTAAAGGCAGAACATGCTGGTTGCGTATGACTTTTTAATCTCCAATGCGATTTTTTTTTTTTTCCCATGTCACATAAAGAGAGGCTCCGACTAGGCAGGATTTTCCTCAAAGCAGTTCTGTGCAGATTTTTTTTACGCCTCTGTCTTTGTGATATACACACATTAAAACAATTTCTCACATTTGACTTAAACAGATAATGAAAAGTTATTAAAAAATCATGCATGCGATAAAGCAAAGTACCACTTTATGAGATATGTTCATATGCATATATTAAAAACATCATGAAATTTTCATCCAAAAAAAATAAATACACAACAACAAACACAGTGGGACGGTTATATGCTGGCAGAGAGAGGTGATTCTCAGAGAGAGATCTGTGAAGTTAATAGAAGTTTTTCTTACTTTTATTCATTAAATAGGTAAGAGAGATACGCCTCGCTAACCTGCTTTGTCTGCCCCTCGTTATTTTTTTAAAAGTTTTTTTTGTGAGGCTTGAAGAGGATCGATATTTTACTATTTTGTTATTTTTTTCTCCTCCTGGAGTTATAATTTCTTTTGATGAGATTATATAACTGCACTTTCTATCCCTCGTTTTCGCAAGGCTCAAAGAGGATCACTTTCTGTCCTTCTGAACTCCTTTTATGCGTAGTTTTCTGTTGTTTTTTTTAATGTTTCATTTATTGCTTTTGCACAAGTCTGTCCCGCTCGTTATATATGCTCTGTGCCACTCCAAAACTAACTCTTTCCCTTTGCGATTAACATATTTCATGTTCCCTCGAAAGCAGAGTTTTACTTTGTAACCCCGTCTCTTCCTGTCAGACCCATGAAAATGCTGCCGAATTGTTGTGTCCGACTAAAACAGCCCTGGGTTATATCTTAATCAGACCTAAACAAGCCCTCTTGTGTAAAAACGTGTCGGGTGTGATCATCCCCATTGACTTTCAATGAGCACTAAACGCCACAACCTCGTCAGACACGGTTTTCTGTTGGACGGACAAAATCGGATTCGGTGTGTTTTGGCCTTAAAGCCTATCCATAAAGCTGCTGACACTCCTTTGATGTCAAGAAGAGTGCTGCTTTAGTGTCTGAGTTGGACACTAGTATCATTTTAAAAGTCTTAAATGAAAATCCAAAGGCTGCTCGCTTTAAGTTGCATATCTACATATTTATTCAGATTTGTTGTTTTTCTTTTCCTATTTTTCCTTTAAACAAATTTTTCACAGGATGTTCATTAATCCTAACCAAGCTGTGTGCAACTGGGTATAGGAACAGCTAAATGTTAACATTCTAATAAAAATACTTTACATCCTGTTAATGTTATATTTTTTTCAATTCCTATACTGCATTAGAAAAGACCCCCCCACCACCCTAAAATAGAAGTGTTTTTTTTTTATTGTGAAAGACCCTGTCATTTGCATAGAAGCTACACAGTTTGCCTGTAAGCTCTAAGTTACCGCCTCAAACCAGTTTTTCTTTGAGAGTTGATACCGCTGCCTGACTCCATTTCATTGTTTGTTCTCAATGCATATTAAATAAAGCTGGAGGGTAGAAGAACTGCTTTTATTGCAACAGTTAATGCAGTCCCTTTTGGGATGGTCAGCTGTTAAAGGGCACAAACATGTGGAATTATTATATAATTGTGCTGGAAAAGTCTTATATATAGTTATAATGACCTGATCAAATAATTTTCACTTTTCAAGAAAATAAAAGTAAAATATATTAATATTTTAATTGAACAAATATAAATTGTCACTGGTGCTATAAGGCTGTATTACTATTGTTCACATTTAAGCCGGATTTATTAGCTTAGATCTTTGAGCAGGGGGTTTAAAAAAAATATACTGCAGTTTTACCCTTGAATACGGTTTTCAGAAATCTTTTCTAGATTTTGAAACCCCTAAAACGTCCATAGAAATGTAAAAAAGAAAAATGTATCTTAAGATTTACAGGTCTAATCTCTAACCAGGTCTGAGGTATAGATTATCACTCAGTGCGGTGCACTTAGTCTTTGTTAAGAGTAACGGTTTATGTCATGCCGCCTTGCCTTGCAAGTACGGACCTGCGGCCTCTGACTGTGCAGACCAGCTCTGCACTGTCAGAGTTAACCCCTCTGCAAATCATCAGCGGCAATCGGGGCAACTCCCTCCCTTTCCCTGGGCCACAAGTCTGCCAGGTTTCGCCTGCCTCTGTAGGTTTCGGTCGCCGTTTGGCAGTAATGCTGGGACAAGCTGGTTCCTGCTCTGTTCATCACAGCTTGATGACACGTCCTGAAAATGAGCTTTTGTAATAAATAAATAAATAAATGGCACTTAGTGACTGGGGGGCACATACAAGCAGTTGGTTTTCTGCAAAGTTGCAGCTTGCCTGAATAAACATGTTGCATGTTAGAATTTCCAGTGTATTCTTCTCACTAACCCTCAGTTTACCGGATGTGCAGAGCTGTTTTGTTTTTTTTAAGCCCTCAGGGTAGGAGCAAACTCAAGTGGTTTGTAAACCTGGGCTCTGGTTGTTTGTGCATGCAAGGAAAATAAATTGATCAAATTTTTTTCCCAAAACTTGTATGTGGCATGTATATATGTAAATAACCCATGGTTCGGTTATCACCATTTCTCCACAGCGCCATGCTGATCACTGCTGTTTTTGATCGAAATGTCAACTGCCGCAGAGCTGCCTCTGTAAGTTGTCTCCAGTGAACTTGATCAGATAACTTTTTCCAAATGTCTTAAATGAGAAAACTCTATTTTGTGTCTCTTTCGGTCCTAGGCCGCCTTCCAGGAGAATGTCGGCAGACAGGTTTGTGACTAAAGCTTTGAAACTAACATGGCGTTATTTGCCTCATTTGATGCTTATTTGTTAGTTGATATCCTGCTCATGCTCAAACGTGCCTCATTACACCAATCCTCCCAAAGAAATGGCCTCCTAGTGTAGCTACAGGGCACCTTCAGATACACACTGTGCCAGTTGTCCTTAAGCGAGAACTCCTTAGATTTGTTATTACTTGAATTGGGAACAGTGTCACTAATGTTTCCATCTGAAATGTAGCTGTAGTTTCAATGCAGACCATTTTTAAAGAAATGTACTGAATCTTTTTCTGGGTTTTTTTTTGTTGTTTTTTTTTTTTTTTCAATTAGGGCACCTTCCCTCATGGTATTGACATCTTGACAGAAGCAGATTACTTTGCAGTCGGTAATATTACCAACTGCTATCTGAACATTAGGTAAGAAGATTATAAAAAATCTTTGTATTTTGTTTTTTCTGCACAAATTCAAATGTACATTGCTTTCTTACATGTTTATTGCATTGCCTACTAATATTGGTCAGAGGGCCCTGGGGCCCCCTGTGTACGGCAACCCTGCTTCTGTTTGTTGTCCTCAGGGCAGCATGAATGGGCCAATGACTGAATGTAGTGTACAGTGCTTTGGAGTCACAATAAATTTGAATATTATTTTAAAAGTTTAATTAAAATGACTATTCCACTACAATACTTTCATTAGACACAGATTTAAACATTTCAAATGTTTATTTCTGTCAGTTTTGAGACATACAGCATAAAGCTTGACAAAACATAAACTGCAGTTTCTCAGCAAATTAGAATATTAAACATCACAAATTCAAGGTAAAAAATCCAAAATGTCTACCTGCTAAAAAATAATGGCAATTTTCTGTGCAGTCCATTCAGTACTCGATCAGGCCTCTTTTTGCAAATGCATCAGTGGATCAACCTGCTGTTCAGCTGACTTTGTGAAGAAGCTCATCATCTGAATTGTTTGGTCTGGTGTCTCTCATCCTGCTTTTAACAATGCCCTATAGATTCACCATCACCGACTGTAGAAGCTTCACATTTTAGATTACACAAAATGGATCCTTTGCCTCTCTAACCTTCGTCCACATTCTTGTATCTTTATTTCCAAGGAAATGCAAACAAACAAATAATTTTTCTCTTGAGCTCTGTGAAGGGACTCCATATATCGCCTCTGGTTCAGGATTTGTTTAAGATAAGGAATGCAACAGTAGTAGCTCATGTCCTCGATACCGGTGCCTTGTCTCTTCCAATTCGACTGACACAGCACCCCACGCCCTCTGAATCCTTTCCAGATAACTTCGGGAGTTTAGCAACACAATCTTCCCAAGATTGTTTGAACTCCTTTAGCTTTTGCACATTTTCCACAACATGCTTTTCGTTCCACTCAATTTTCTACCAATATTTTGGGATGCAACACTCTAAAAAAAAAGCTATTTTTGGTTTATTCTTCTGTTGGAAAAAGCCAGTCTTTGTCAGCCGGACAACAGTGATGTCATTAATATTTTTCGTGAATATGTGAGCCTTAACATTTCTGCATTTGCACCAAAAAACATTTGTGTATTGGTCCTCTCAGAGTCTGAATTTTGGGTTTTTATTAGCTGTAAGTTATTGGATTATATCAACATCTATGAAATGTTTCTGAGATTTATTTTTTATTCTATTTGAACTGATTGAGAGCGAAACGGAGCAAACATTACCACTGTGAGTGTAGAGAAAGGGAAGTAGCCTAAGGCTATGATTGAATATGTAGGCATATATTAAAGGAAATGATTTTTTTTCCCTTTTTAAGCAATTATGCAAGCATATCACATTTAATTGAATTGTTTTTATATCTGAAGACGTTTTTCTTTTTGTTTTCAAAGTGTCTATATAGCTGGTTTTCCAGAATACACCAAATCCATGATCGACCATTTGGTATCCAGGAAAATCAACCACTGGGACAGGTCAGTGCTTCCACCATTTTCCGTTAAAGCAATGTCTATGGGGTGAAGATTTTAATATCTTTAGGAAAAATGTTCGGTTTGCTTTGCAGTGCGATCCGAGAGCTTACCTCAAAAGCACTCCACAACCTGACGTCTCAAGCACCCGATTATATGGCAACAACAGGTAAGCATTGTTGCCTTACGGGTTAATGTTGAGCTATCGGTTAAATTGGCTGCAAGAATTTCCTTTGTTTACCTGAAACTTTCCCATTAGGGGTTGTGAGTAAAGATGGTGCTCTCTTTCGTATTATTTTCTCAGTTTTGCCTCAGCTGCTGACCAGAGCGGTGGGTGTCGATCTGCACGGTCGCCACGGTGCCATCCTGGCATGTGGAGAAATCACACATGCTCTGTACAAGGTGGCTCTTCAGACCAACAGGTAGACTTGAGTATATTAGGAAACATGTTGTCCACCTTAACAACCACCCTGGCATCATTAAACTAATTTGAAAGCAGAATAAAATGAGTGACTTTATTTTATTTTATAGAACTGTCGTGGATCTTATTTCTCCAGAATGCGTGGATGCACTGAAGAATATTCACAATGTGGTAAATAAAATAAAAAAAAAGTTCCTAGCACTTTACGTTAAAGTTGGGTCAAGCTGTCTGTTTCTGACATAAGTTTTCTGACACTTTCAGCTTGATGAAAAAAAACAATACAGGTAGGTGGACGTTATTGGATCAAACTTCATACAGTGTTACAATAATACACATTTTTATGTAATATAATTGTATTTTTCACAGGGGCTTCGGTGGAGGGCTGATGAGACCAGCAAGTAGGTTTAAGACGTATATAAAAATTCAGTCAATGGATCTAAAGACGTTACAAAAAACAGTAATCAACCTGAGACTTTTCTTTTATTATTACAGTCTGCACTCTTATAGAAAAGCTGTCCCTGTCTAAAATGCCTTTCAAGAAAGACCCTATAATCGGTAAGTGTACAGAAAATCAGATTTATTTGGATTATAATAATTTTTATTCTAAGCTAAGCATTTCTTTTGTTTAGCTGGATGGCAAGGGATAATCGATGATACCATAAAAAATCTTCACCTCTTTTCAAGAGAAACAAAGGGGGAAATCATTGTAAGTCAGGTTTGAGTCACATACACATATATATGCAAAGATTAATGCCTGATTTGTTATTTTTCTGGATGTTTCATATTTAAACCCCTACTCAGATATAAATACCTGCAAATTAACCTAATTTTGTTTACTGTGTAAAACCCTAAATGAGCTGATTTTTCTAAATGATTGAAAAGTGTACATGTTTATACAATATGCATCTAGTACAGTATTTTAGATCCTTCCAAAGAGCTAAAACCCCATCTTGACATCTTGAAGCTTTCTTTCGTTTGATCTGCAGGTTCCTGTAGTAACAGCGTTATCTGCCCTGTGTGAGGAGTACTACCAGGACAGCACAAACCAGGCTGATGCACAGATTCAAGGTGGGAAACCTTGTTGGTTTACCTGTAGACCCTAAATAAAAATACAAAAAGGTTGACCTGTCTACTGGAGTTTTATGATGATGGTTTGTGTTGACACACATAGATGTGCTCATATCCCAGTACCTTGAAGGACTGAAGAGTTCTCAGGTGCTCTGTTGTTGCGGGTCTGCTCGCGCCCTCGGTTCTCTGCCCAGATTTATGATCCACGGCAAACTAATGCAGGTGGGTGTGTTTAACTGTGTTTATGCAAACCACTATCCTTTTTAAAAAATATTTCACCTGGATAAATAAAGAAGCTCTAAAGATGTTTTTGTTGTTTCATTTCTCTTCTTAGATCTTTGAAGGCCTTCAGAACATGTGTGCTGTCAGCCAGCAGCAGGGGAATTTAACCGAGGCAAGGAGAGACGCAGTCAGATCAGTGGCTCAGTGAGTTTTCTTCTGTTTGTTCCCTGATGGAGTTTATGATACAAAGGTACCTCCTGTCTCGCCAATGTTTCCTCGTGAGCTCTAATGCTAAAGTAAACTGTGGACTGACTCTACCAGAAGGACCGGAACTGTACACCCATTCTATAATTTGACAGTGTTTTACATATTTCCTGTAATGTTAATTATTTATTTCCATCTGCCCCATTTACCACTTTGTGAACTTTTTTCATTCCTTTCTTCAGGGTATTTATGAAGGCAGGTGTTTGTTCCCAAGGCTGCCCTGACTCTGCCCTCTGCTCAGAGAATATAGCTGAGGTGTACGGCTTCCTTCTCAGCAGCCTGAATGACTACACAACAGACAGCAGAGGCGACGTCGGGGCCTGGTGAGTCCTCTATTCTGATGACTACCTTCCTCAGTGAGGCCTCTGGTGTAATTTTTTTTTTTTATTATTTCTTCTGACCCTTGGCGTAGAAACAAAAAACACCTCTCACATGTAGCTTCAGGCCATGCTTGGGGACTAAACAGGAATGTCACTTGACGTGTCTTGTCATTGTATGAAGGGATGGGCTGCCTCTCTCAGGCTATCTAGTAATAGTTTTCTTTCCTTGTTCTATTTATTTCCTCCTGCTTCCATTTGTTTTGTCATCCTATTACATTTGTTCCACACATTTTTTGAATCACAAAGTACTAAAAGGATATACACAAGGGTACTGATTGAACATGTAATTTCACCACTCATCCAAAATTCACTTTATTTAAAACGTGCTTTGTTGGTGCATTATTTGTTTTGATGAGTGGGGTCAAGGTTTAACTTCTGAATACTAGTCCTCACTCAATTTTGATATAATCATCTATTGTCCCACATGTTTGTTTAAGGAATCTTCTGGAAGTAAAATATGTTGAATAACCACCTTGCTTCGCCAAACGGAGGCTCCTACCTACAGTGACGGCGAAAGAAAAGAACCCTCTCTTTAAAATCTTAAAATCTCTATTCAAATTTTCCATTAATAGTCTAAAATATTTAGCAGATTAAGAAAATTCCTAGCTGTAGTTAAGCATTAAGAAGTCACAGAAGTGACTTTATCCAAACCTTCATTGTGGTTCTACTTGCTCACTTTCCTTTTCACACCTTACTGTTTTATTGCTTCAGTGATCTGATTTCATAGAAAGAGTTCAAACAGGTTAACAGACAACTTACTGAATATGAAGGAGCAAATTCCTACAAAACAATTCAAACTCATCACCCCTCCACTACCATGCTCTGTTTCTCTCTTCAGAACATGTTGTGCAAAGTCATGCTGCAATCTTTTAAAGTGTCATGTTTCCATCCATTAGACTTGCTCTACTTTTGTGCACTCATCTTTTTTTTTCTGTACATTTAAACAAGGTTGTAGATGAACTGTAACTTTGCTTCATGAGCTTAAGGTGAATCGACATTATTGGCTATTTTTTCTGTTTTTATTGTGAGGTTTGACTGTTTGCTTTTCCCGCCAGGGTGAGAAAGGCAGCAATGACCAGTCTAGAGGAACTCACCTTGATGGTAGCCAGCAGCGCTCCAGAGATCCTTCCACCAAACTTGTGAGTCATAAACCGTAAAACGTTCACCTGCTTCTTCTGTTGTAAACTTTCTCTTCAACACCACATTTGCTCTGGCTTGTGTTTGGACAGGAGTCAGCATGCATTTTTTTTTTTTTTTTTAGCATTGCCTAGTGAAACTAAGAAATTAAGAAATTATGGTGTCATACTTTCTGCTAAGTCTTCAAGGGGCATAGTCTCATTACATGATATTTCTAAATTGTACATGTGCTGGTAAAAATAGATTTTTCAATTCTGCATCGATTCTTATATTTATTTCTAAAGATAGATTCATATAACCAAAGATAGATTAAAAAAATAAATACTTTGAACTTTTTAGACAGCATTTCCAGCTCAATTAAATATGCAATGGCATAGTATCAATATGATACATAACTGTACAGTTATTTTAATTTGTTAATTTATTATTCAGATCCGTATTAGCTCAGCTTTACAGCCAACCAACCAACCAAAAAAAAAATAATTTTTTTTTAACACTAGCAATCCAATTTGAGATGGGATCTGTTCAGATTGGATCGAGAATGATGGATTCTCAATCTTGAGAAACTTGTTCTTATCTTTCCTTGGTATTTGAGTCATTACCTGGCCTTTATTATACATCAACAGTTCACTGTTGTTGCAATCAAAGTTTTTCTAAAACAAATACCCCGTTCTTCGGGGTATTAGGTAATTTATGTGCTTTGTTTTTGCTCAATTTGTCAGTAAATGAAGCTTTTCTGTGTATATTTACAGGAAGTAGCAATGAGGTTAAGCCAGTTAGCACATCCCAGTCGGGGTGTAAAAAAGAGGGAGAAGTCCAAAATCCAATGTTTGAAAAAGCACAGAAATATGTATTCAAAGATGGGAGTCAAAAAATGCTTGGAATACAATGTGAAATTTTGTATTCACTGAAGCCAGAGCTAAAGCTTTGGAGGCATTCAGATGTCACTGGGAAGTTTATGTATGCGTAAGATAAGATCCTGATTAATACTGAGACTAGGGTTAGCAATAATTATATGGCAATAATATTCTACCGCCGAAGAGCAAACAACATTTTACATTATTGGGTGACTGAAATAAACAAGGGGGCAGTTTTCTGCCAAAGCTCCTGGAATGCAGAAGACCAATTAAAATGAGGTTCAGTTTAGGTCTTATCAACAACAGTGCACTTACCTGGTAGAAGCTTTTTTTTTGTTTTGTTTTGCTTGTATGAATTCCAATGGAAAGTAGTTTGCCGATTTCAAAAAAAAAAAAAAATGTATTTGATTTTTAAAATATTTCTACTTTGCCCAGTTTTTGTTTGGTAACAACGGGAATCTTCTCTTTTCTCGATGTTCCCCTAGGAGGCTTTTTGGGGGGGAGTTCACTAGAACTTGGAGTCGCTATAGTTTGGGTTGGTCTTCAACCAGGCCGACCTGCCACTTTTTACCTGCCTTAGTAGATTCAGACCAGGAACTATTTATCAGTGGCCACGATCCAGTATATTAGCTCATGCATTAATAGCTGAATTTAGGATTCTATTAGTTAAATAAGTGTGCAAATAAGTGACCCAATTGTAAACACAATTTAAAAATATTTTAAAGTTGTTGAGGGCCCTGTTGCACCTTGCCGATTTAGGCAGCGTACGCCTGACGTCCCAGAATCTCCTAAAACGCTGGCATAATTAGATGGCTTAATTTTCTATGTACTTTTTCAATGTTGGGCGTTTACATAGCGTATTCATAACGATTCCAAAACTTATGTCCAACCACAACCTAACTTATACATAACGCATGGCAGCATAATGCCCATGAAATGATGCACAAGCCAGTGTCCTGAGGGGGCCAGCGATCCACTCAGACTGCATAAAAAGATGTCTTTGATTGCATTATTACCTAGCTGCTGTTTACTGCCCACCAAAAAAAAAAAAAAGAATAGATAAAAAGAAAGAAGGTTTGCAGTCGTTGCAGATACAATCTCATACCTGCTAGGTAGTTTGTTGGGCGTGAACGCAGGGAGGATCCACCACACTCACCTTCTCGCTCACCCTATAATGGGGATGAAGTCTGGAGGAGTAGAGACGATGTCCTCCTGTGAACCCCCTTTTATACCAAAACGCTGCCAATACACTATTACACAGTAGCTGTAAGTTAGAAACACATTCAGCGGCCGTCTGAACCACATCAGATATGTTAATATGCATTGGAGATAAGTTCTTGATAAGTTGCGCGCAAGTTACTCATAGGTTTTTGGATAACTTGGACACCACGACTTATGAGTAAATTACACTTAACCTATGTCAGTGTTAATATGGAAGTTATGTCCCCCTGAAGGCAGCTGCGCCTCAGAACTTCCCTACCGGTTCTTTTCCTGGGAGCAAGTTATTTACTACTCTTAAATCAAATTGGGTAAAACCATATAAAAAAGGGCTATAAAAACAGGATTAAAAAAGTAACAGAGTTTATTACAGATCAGGTTGTTACAGGACAGACAAAATGCTTGGAGTCAGCACAGCTGTGGGCTCAAAAAACATCAGCGAGCATCCAGCAAAGATTGAGCAAAGATTGAGCCCCGAACAAGGTCATCTTCTCCTTCTTATACCTCATGAGTCCATGTTTTGCATCAGGTGGAAGCTCAGCTGTCCGTATCAGAAACTGACATGCCATCCATGCCTTGACCTGTATGCATCTTGCCTCTATGCCCAAGAATTACAGATAGCTCCCCTTTATCAGACCGGCTCCAAGATGTGCCCATATCCTGTGCACTTCTAAAGACACGAAGGCTGTCCTGAATAGATGACCTCCATACACAGTGACATCCACAATGTGAAGGAAGGCCTTCTACTCTGTCTAATCTGGCTAACAGAATAACAATGCACATGAAGTATAAAGAATAAACCTAACATCAGCGATCAAATAATTTACCTGTAACTTATTGCCCAAGTGTGAGCATACGCTGGCATATGTCTGGAAATTTTGAACTTTCAGGAAATCAATTCAGGTCCAAAAATGACTGTAAACACTATCTGAGCACCTAGAATCACCTGTTATAATATCTGTATTCTGTGCAGGGTGAAGTCTATGATGTGCTGCTTAGCTAAACAGGCTGCAGAGAAGATTGACCACTACAGAGCTCATGCTGGAAACATCTTCCTACGCCTCCTTCACAGCACCGATCCTGAAGTACCTCATATACCCCACAGGGAGGAGCTGTTGAACATCTTTCCTGTGTGAGTATCTCAAGTAAACAGGCAGCACTGAACACTATTAAGCTAAAAAAAAATATAAAATGGTACATTTTTCACTGGTTAAAATACATTAAGTATGATTTAAAGACACATTTAGGCGATCTTTAATTTAGTTTGGTTTTTCTTCCAGTGAGACCATAACCAGTCTAAACTGGAATGCCTCATCCCAGGCTTACAAGTACATCGCACAGCTGCTTGGCTTGCCTGAGTATCAGTACCACACCCTGCTGGGGCTCTCTGTGTCAGTGGGAGGGATCACAGAGTCCATAGTAAGTGGAAGAAGCAGAAAATTGTCAAACCACAGCAGTATGATGACCAGATTGGCCATAAATGATGTGCGAGAAGAGCTTTGGTTCCCTTGCAACACTTCAGAGACTTTCACAATGTTTGCCCTGGAGCACTAAAGCTGGATGTTAACCTTGGCTGCACTAAAGGACAGTTTGATATTATTTTGAAAACTGGCTTTTCTTTATCCAAGCTCTATGATATTGATTTCACAGTTGTCACTTATTTATGCAGCGAAGATAATCAAACCAAGCCAAATATGTAGATAGCAGATATTATGTATTATATATCAATTAATATTTCTAAGTTTTGTTTTTCTTAAAGATAATGAAATAAATGAGACCTTTCTCGTTAAAGTGGTTTTAAAATTGCATAAGCTGTTGTTTATTATAAAATGTAGCCAGATGTAGCTCCACTGTAGCCAGTAATTATTTAGCAGCTATGAATTTATTATTCAGGTCTCCTGACCAACAGGGGGAGCAGTTTGTTTATTATTGCCCTCTGTGTAACACCTGCTTTATGTGTTCCTAGAACAACTAATTTGCAATATTTTAGTCTGCCAGCTTTTGCATGATAATTGGACTTCAAACATTGATTGATTCAATATTTGCTTTTCATATACACAAAGAAAAATAGTCTTGAGGTTTTAATCTGTGGCATATGTGTAAAGTATGCCTGCTTAACTCCTCTGCAGTCTTTTCTTACACACCTCTCTCTAGAGGTTCAACCTGGTCCCAAACTGGGGTTGATCACGCTTTCATTTCTCTCCCACTGCGATTTAACCTGTTAAAACCAGACTTTTTTCTAAAGAGGTCCAAGCTGCAAAGATTTCAGCTTATTTTTAACTTTGAATGTTTATAGAAGTAATAAGGAATATAACATTTAAGGCCTGTAATAACAGCAGTGAGGCCCGCGGAGTTAAGCCAGTCTGAAATTGGCGCAATATAATGTGCTCCCTCAGAGACGATCCAGCCTAGGTCTTGTTTTTATCTCCTCCTCATATAGTTTTTCTTCCTCTACAAATATCCTCAGAGACGAGAGGCAGTGATATATTTGTACAGCATTTTGGAATAAGGAGCCAAGATTGCTTCAATGTATGGGCCAAGATTAAGATTCTCACACTATAGGCCCCTAGTCTAAAAAAAAAAACAGGGTTCCATTCTGACAAATATAGATTGCACAGTTTGACCTTGTTTGAAGTCCATTAGGGAGAAAAATCATTTAATGAGATTCACCTGGTACCATTATTTAATGTGCTTTTATTACCAGTTGAAAGGACTGATTTTTCATTAAATATTAATGTTTTATTTAGCTTGCATTAACATTGTTTTAGGTCTGGTTTTATATATTTTTTATTACTACCATATTTTACTTTGAGATGATCTGTTTAATTTGTATTTACTATAATTACTGTAGTGAATTATTCAGTCTTTGTGTTCAGAATGGGATTTGAATCATTTCTTTCGCTCTTCCTGAATTTGTTCAGGTGCATCACTCCTCCCAGTCTCTGTTTACTTTCCTGAGAGGGATCCAGACTGACAGCGATGCTCTGTCACAGTTTTCACAAATGCTACTGAGGGTCTTTAGGGACAATCTTCACAATGACAGGTACATAAGTGAGCTAAGGTTGTCAAGTCCTTTCTATTCATTCTACATAGAGCCATTTGAATCTGTAATATTACTTAAAAACACTTTCGAGTGATATATGTATGTAATGCAATGTTTGTTTTTTATTCCTCTTTTTTTAGGGTATCTGTTCCCTTACTTAAAATGCTCAGTCAGATGCTTGCTAACAGCGTTTTTGAAATCTTCACCACACATGAAAAGTTAGTGATTATTTTATATTTTTTGTATATTAAAACTGTTTTTATAGATCTAGGAGGATTAAAGTTTTTCTGTCTCTTTGTTTCGTAAGTCACCAGGTCTGTGTGGAGCTTTTGAGTCTTTGCAAAGGCTTCAGGAAGTCCAAGAATGTAGCCAAGCTTCGTGCCTGTATTGATGTGTAAGTATCCTATATTTAAGGCTACGACAGCATCAACATAGCAGAATGAAGCCCTACTATTGTTGTTTTTTCAGTTTCTGTGGGCTGATCCAGTTCCAGGGAGACGTGAGGAAGCAGGTTTTGACCCAGTTGCTGCTGCTGCTCTGCCATCCATTCCCAGTGGTAGGTCCACCTACTGTAGAGTCCTATTAATAGATAATAATATATATGCTAGCACTTGAAATGATAGGTAGGCTTATTCATTTTATAACACAATTTGTAAAGTTTTGGAGCAGACGAAACATAACCCTGATTGCTGTTATTGACTTCCATTGAAATACTAGAGTCTTCTAATGAAAGACGTCACACCAGATCTACAGGAAGATGGTTTGTCAGTTTTAACAGCGTAATTATTACCTTAACCACAAAAGAATTACTGGAGGGCATCCCCACATAGAATGCATTACAGTTCCTACAGTAGTTAATAAACAAGATGTAAATTATGGATGAGGGGCTAAATTTATCATGAACATGTTCTGTGGTGTTAATGACATTAATGGAAATGTATAAATTGATTGTTGGATTTTGTTTAAATATTTTACAGTATTAGTCTTAGTCTTATTCCTCTGTAGATGTCCAGTTTATTTACAATTTTGTTTTGTTGCAATTAGGGCTGCAACTAAGGATTATTTAGCAAATTGATAAATCTGTCGATAATATTTTTGATCAATCAATTAATAATCGGATTGTTAAAGATTCTTTAATGAAAACTTTTTACAAAATTAAACCAGGTGAAACTCAATTGTTTCCACATGTGGAGTTTTGGATAGAGCATATTGACACAATTTATTTTTTATCTTAAATGTGAAATGTTTATGTTATTTTACAATCTTGGTATAATTAAGGCTCTAAGTGTGTCGCTCTGTCAGCTAAAGGTATGTTTTAGATCCTCTACACTCCGGTTAACGATTAATTGACTACTAAATTAGTTTACGAATATTTCAATAATCAATTAATCACAATTAATCTGATTAATTATTTAAGCCCTAGTCACAATATATAAAATGTTGTGCTGTTTGTGATCAAATCTAGAAATTCAGTCTTTTTTGTGACGTACTTTCCCCTTTTCAGATCAATCAATCAAAACAAACAATACTATATCAAAGATAACCTTTTTTTTCAGGAGTCATATTACAGCCATTTATATCTTCAGATTCAGTGGTTAAATTGATGTTAATAGATTTTTTAATCATTATTTACATGTCATTAGATAAATTACTCATATGTTTATTAAAATTTTTTACACTTGAATGATTTTGTTAAAACTACAGATAAGAAAGACCACATCCAGCGAGATGTATGAGATGCTTCTGACCTATGATGATGTTACTGATCCAGATGTGCTGGATGATGTCATGACCCTGCTAAGTGACACTAAGTGGTTGGTACCATTTTGCAAAGCAGTTGGTCACAATAAATTCTGCTTTAGAAATGAAAATAAGAATTACTTTATATTGACTCAGTATTTGCTCTGTGTGAAATATTGACGCTTTAAATATCCATTTAAGGGAGAGCGACCTCGCCACAGTGCAAACACACAGGAATCAGCTTTGTGATTGGTTAGGAGTCCCCAGGCCGCAGCTAGTTATGAAGGTGCGAAGTAACATTATTACCATAATCTGCTTCTGTTTTTTTTATATATTTTTTTTTTATTGTGTGTCAGGTTAACTCTGACAGCTCTCTTTTATTTTGCAGGTCCGTGCCCCGGTTCCGTGATCTTTAATGGATGTTTAATCCTGCAGGAGGAGCGGCCTCTCGCATGACTCAGGAGACACTCTTTAGTTAGGAGTTCCCTTATTAAGGAGGCCTGCCCATCTGCCAGGAAATGACACAGCTAACTTAACAACCTGTTCAAAGAGTTTAACATTAGTGCAAAACAAAGTAAACTGTCATGGTGGTTTTCCCTTCCAACAGCAACGTTCCTCTCTGTTTTAGCAGTTGTAAAACAATAAATGTCTTAAAATGTACCTGTTGTAAGTCCTTTTTGTTGTTTTCTGTCAGTAATTCTATTGTTTCACTCTCTGTTTAGGCCTGTTTACTTGTAAGCTGTACCTGGAACAACACAGCTATGTGAAATTTACACTGTACTTTGCAGGCACTCCAGGGAAATGGTTGCCATTTAAATGTTTTGGCACACAGCGTTGAATGTCACTGAGGCCCCTGCTTCCCCTTTAGGGAAGGCAGACCTACTTTTTCTGCTCTGGCAAAGGTGCCAGTGGTTAAAGGAGTCTGAGGCCTGATAGCAAAGCCTTCACGGTTGCCTGCAGAACAGAGGCCGTTGTGTCACCATTGGTCCAGGCTTTCTAATTAGTGGCTGATAGTGGCCACATTGTGCTATGCAGCCACAATAACAAAGATGCAATTGTTACATTATTTTAGAATTAGCTGGTTTTACTGGCTCGTCATACACAGCCCAAGCTTCTTAAGCTAGTAATCACTATATTGCATTACGTTTTGTTGCATGGTTCACATAACTGTTAATTTTTTCCCCATGGATACTGGGGTTTATTTTACTTTATTCCATGTGTTAGCATATGCTGTGTTTGCGCCTTTACCACATACGTATTGGAAATAACTTTTAAATATTGGCTTTATAAAGGTATAAACATTTCTCTATTATACATAATTTATATGACAGGCCTTGATGATGATATTTGAGGTCATTTTAATAAGTAGCTGTTTATATTTCCAGAAATGTATGTAAAATGTGATAATACTTTGATGTTTAATGAATCCAAATTCATTACACATCAAAGTATAATCTCATTTTATGATTGTTTCTATAAATTATTTGCATCATTTTTAATGAGGAACTTTCATATATCCAAACTGAGTAGTAGAAAAGCTAAGCTTTAAAATATTTTCGACAAACCCTGGTTGAATCACCAGATTAGCGCCTTGCAAGGATTTTTCAATCATTTTGTTATCCGAGTCTCTCTTACTCATGCAGACTGCAACCAATAGTCATGTCTTAGTTTTTGTTGATTAGCTTGGTTTATTTATGTTACATTTTGTGTCCTCATCTTTAATAAAGCAAAACACATTGAAGCCCTATTTTTATTTTAACCTTGGCATGAACCAAACATTTATCATAAGGATCAGCTCTTGGTTATTGCAAAATTGTTAAAAAAAGTTGTGTGTTCTGTTCCTAATTTTTTGTTTTTACATTAAAAGCTGCACTTGCTACCCTAACAGTTGTTTCTGTGCACAACAAGTTTGTGCACTCTTTCTACTGTAATAACAATCAAGAGACAGCTTTAGCTGCGGATAGGTGGTCCAAAACGGGTACTGTCCACAGAGATGGAGGAAGTCAGATCACCATACTGAGGACAGATTCTCTTACCTGAGCGGTGGATGTTTGCATCACCTCCAAAGATTCCATTGGCCTTTTGGTTGCTTCATGATAATCCCCTGACCCAAGCTTTCAGAGGAAAGGTCTAAATCTTGCTAAGTTTTTTGATGTGCCACACACTTTCCGATTTTGAATGGATGAACTGAATGTATCTTAGTACAATACGGCTCTCTAATAGATGGATTTAAATTGAGATAAAATGACACACAGGACTAGAAAACATTACTGTTTTTTTTTCTTTATGCCAACGTAAGGCACCCCTTTTTTTTTTCTCATTTTTCAATAATTTGCTCCTTAGTTTTGGCCTGTGACAAAAAGCTTGTAGTTATAATCTGTTAAAATGTGAAAAGATTCAAGGGTAAAACTGCTTTTGCATGTCACCAGATTTCTAGCCTATTGTTTTGTCACTTTGTTGCCTGCTGCTGCTGATAAGTGACCAAGTTTTATCACCCTGCCTATGAACAAGGCCACATTCTCCCTTTACCCTCCTCCTCCTCGGGTGTTGTTCAGCTCAGACCAGGTTTGCCCAATATTGCTGCAGCCCATAATTCGACTTTAATTAATTCCCAGCCACATGTAAAATTCCTGCAGTTGCCAATGAAAGAAACGGTGTGTTTCTTTTAAAGGCAGATCGACGGGAAAGCGAGCAGCTTTGCTACAGTGCTTAGGGTGCAGAGGAATGCTAATAATTCAGAAAGGCTTACAGTTCGCTGGCAGTATCCATGGCGATTCCTCCACACAATGGTCGCCTTTTTTTTTTTTTTTTTTAAGAGCGGAGTAGGGAGGGGGACCTTTCCCTCATTGACTGACTTGGTGTGATGTTAGGAAAGACCTTCAACTTTGGGTTTAAGTGTTTGGGTCTAGCTGTTCCTCCAGGTTGAGAATGGATCTGAGTCTCATCCTTAAAACAAAGCCATGATGTTTACACTCATATACAAAAATATTGTTTGGGTGAGCATATCCAGTCTGCTTTTACTGCGGTTCCTTCAGAAACGGAGAGCACAATATGTCTCTTGGATCATTGCAGCATTTCTTTAACAAACAGCAGATTACTGAACTCGTGGAGCAAATGATTTTGATTATAGTTCATCCTCATCTTGTGCGTCATGATCCTCATCCCAGGGGTGGGATGGGCACTCTGAGTACTTTAACTGTTTTACCATAAATAAAATCAGACTCTTTCCTAAGATGTTTGTATATTGTTGTGCAGAAAATCCAAATTTTTCTGATTTTCCTCGTGATCATGTGATTGCAATCGACATCACAGAAAGCACTGATAAGAATCCCTTCCTCTTTCATAATCAGACTCCACTGTGGCAAACGCAGAGGCACATGTCACACTCAGGGCCCTCTTGATAAACTTTTGTTTATTAAGTCAGTTTTCTGTCAACTTCAGTACCATAAAATCAGGTCAGTGCCATCTACTGAGCATGAAAAAGCATGCATTGCTTTAAATTAGTAGTGAATAACATGGCACATGCTGTTATATGCCTTATGTTTAGTCAGTGAAAACAATAAGAAATTGACCTTTTAGAGTTTATTATTCCCAGGTGTTAACCCCTGCTGAGACTTCCTGTGTATGGCCCCGGCACCTGGTGTAAGAGCAACAGCCCTCCTCCTGTTTGCTTGCCGGGCTTCATTAGTGGAGCTCAAGGTCTAAATTGCCCTTAATTTATGGAGTGGACGCACTTTGGAACAGCTGTTGCATCTAGACTGACTTTGAAAGCAAGTCTCTTTCAAGCATGCCAGATGGGCCTATTTTTTCTAAGGATGTTTTTAGGTGAATTCAGCATAAACTTTGAAAAGGGAAAAACAAAAGTTTACGCTTAAGCAACTTTGTGCCTTCTAAAGTCCTTTTTATTAATCTTTTCAAGTGTTAACCTATTTACAAAACAGCTTCAGCCACATAAAAACCTTAAGTTTAACCAGAAACGACTGAGGAAGATAATTATATTACAGATAGAAATAGCAAATATACAGTAATTACATGACTGATAGAAATAGGAGAGAAGCTGTAATTATAAATATGACAGCTGATGCGGTCTCCCTCCAGGAAACCACCGTCCTTATACGTTTCCAGCGTTTTCCACCAGGCATGTGCTCACTGCTGAGGAAATTACCATGTTGTATGGGATAATAGTCATTTTGGACTGCGAAGGCAGCTGGATAGGGTTTTGGGAATGTGGGTTAATTGCTGAGCTCATATTCTTTTATAGACCACAGGTTAATGAGGGGTGTGTTTTTATATCGACTTCGCTGACAATTACCGCTGAATTATTGTTCTGATTGAATAAGAGAGTTGTGATTCATGAATCGGTATTTGGTAAAAGGGTTTGTCTTACAATGATTATTTCCTTTATTTTAGTAAGATGTGACTCTTGTGTTCATTCTTAGACCACCTCCTTGCAGCAGCTATGTTGTCTTGGTACAATATTTGATCGCCGGTTAAATGTTTTCCGTCTATGATTTTAAAAGGACAGATGACCCTTGTTGAAGAGCTTGCAGTATCCAATTAGCTGCCTGTTTTTATCGCTGTTATTCTGGATGAGTCTGACAGCTGCTATCAGCGTCAGCACCTCCCAAATTCCACATCAGCTTACAGCAGTTTTTTTGCACAAGCTCCAGATTCATGCTGTGTTTGCATTGCTTGTTCAGTGCCTTGCAAAAGTATTCTGACACACTGAACTTTATTGCATTATGTCAGTTTATTACACACATTAGTTTTTTTATTAGGACTTTATGTGGCAACGCATAGAAGTGCATACCCATGTGGACAAAATTGTTGGTACACTTTGTTCAATGAAAGAAAAACCCAAAATGTTCCCAGAAATAACTTAAATCTGACAAAAGTAATTAATAAGAAATGAACAAATTTAATTCAGACATTGCTTTTCAATAATTCTTTGAAAGAATTATTTTAAAGAAATAAACTCACGAGACAGGGCTGGACAAAAATCATTGCACCGTTAGTTTAATCACTGCAATTAAAAAGTTCATGTAACTGTGAGAATCAGATCCTTTCAGCAGGTATTTTCACTCCTCATCAGCAAATTGTTTTCTCAGGTTGTAAGACTGCCTTCATGTTTAAACTCTGTCCAAAGATGCACTGGAAAAACAACCTAGAAATAAGTAAAAGTTTATAAAATTAAGTGTATTTATCCTTACTTTGAGTAGGTAAATGAGATAAGATAATTAAATAATATGCACTTGAAACAAGACAATGCAATTTTTTTTTTTTTTTAATTGTACACTGTCTTGTTCCATTGACAAAATTTCTCTTTTACCTCCTCATTCCATGAACAAATGCACTTATCGTAAGAAAAAATGAGTTATCTAGATTTTTAGAATTTGTTCAGGATTCATAGGATGCCACGTCAGAATAGTCCAATGTTTTCCTCTTAGATATTCTTGGCTGATTTTAGCTGTGTGTTTTGGGTCTTCCCTTTGAATGACCTATGACCTGCGACTGAGACCAAGCTTTCTGCCACCCTGCTGCATGTTTCTCTTTAGAATCCCTTAGTAGTGTTAAGATATTATTGTATCCTGCAGAAATTCAAGACATCCCATGCCAATTAAAGCAAAGCAGTCCCAGAGCATAAGGGAGCCTCCTCCATGTTTCACAGTAAGGTTTTATTCTTAATATGCTTCATTTTCCCATCTGTGAACATAGAGCTGATGTGCCTTGGCATACATTTCTATTTCGTCTCATCTGTCCATAGGACATTCTCCCGTAAGTCCTGTGGCTCATGTAGTTTTGCAAATTAAAGTCTGACATTTTTATGATTTGCTTTCAACAATGGTCCTTGGTTATCTCTCATTAAGACCACTTTGGCTCAAACAATTGGTGTGATCTGTCACTGATGTTCCCTGAGCTTGAAGTTAAACTTTAATCTCTCTTGAAGTTTTTCTGGGCTATTTTGTTATTATCTGTATTACCTATGTACCCTAGAACTTTCATTTTTGTATTTTTATAAATTTTTTTTAACAGTAATACTTTTTTTTTTTTTTTTCTTTTATTAAACAAGGGTTACCAACAGTTTTGGCGCCTTATTGTAGATGTTTACTGTTCATTTACATTCAGCCTTTATTTAGTGTGATTTCCCAAATAAAACCCAGAACTTTCCAGTATTTAGAGTTCATATGTTCCTAAGTAAACTCTTAATAAATGCTACAGTTTATACATCATTGTAGGTTTTGACATTGAACAAACAGCATCAAGAAGACAATGACACAGCGCACTCAGAGTTAAAGCTGTAGATTATTTAAATACAGGATTAAATATAAAATTTCATAAGCTTTAGACAATGGCATGAAAGT